CCCTCTCCTCCCCTCCCCTCCCCCTAGGTCCCCTCCTGTCCCCTGAGGTCATCTCTGTAGGAATGTGTGTCGCAGGCCCTTTCCGGAAGTGCTTACTAGAGGAGAGGACTGCCCATCACTTCCAAAGCCAAGCCAGGGGGAGCTGGGCTTCCTTGGAGAAGAGCTGGAGGAGAGGTAAGATCTCTCAGCGCCCCGCCCTAGCGGACAAACCCGAGACTTCTCAGAGTACCGATTTCAGGGTTAAACCTTGACAGGGATAAGGTTTAAATTCCATTTTATTTTCCTCCCTTGGTCATGGGGGGGGGGGGCGGGGGGAGGCACACGCCCAGCGCTGTCACACGAGGGAAAACATGATGTCATTAGGAGCTGCTGATACACCATCTTGCTGAGACTCAGCCATGGCCAGCAGAGTTGGTACATTCCAGTCCACCGTCTGCATCCCGGAGCAGCCAGGCCCTGAGAGGTCGCTCTGACCTGCTCCTGTCCCCCCCCTGCAGGGGGAGGGTCTTCATGCCGAGACAGTTCAGGAACAGCGCCTGGCGCCCGCGTCACACCCACAGAGAGAAGAGCCCTCCTGATGGGAACATTCGCAATTACTCTCTAAACCCTGAGGAAGAACAATGCACGGAGCGGGGACCCAGGGGCTCAGCGCTCCGCGTGCTCAGACACCGATGCCACTCATTCAGTTCCAAGTGGTCCTGTCTGTGAGCCTGGCCCTGAGCTGGACAGTGGGGACACAGTGGGGATGAGACAGACGCCCCCCTCACCCTGAGCCCTGCCTTTCTGCTCCCCGCTCGCCCGGCTCTGCCTCTGACCGAAGCCTGTGGAAGGCTTTCCTCGGCTCCCCCAGCCAGCGAAAGCCCCTCCCGGCCCACACCCAGCCTGTGCTGCCCCAGCCCAGCTGCACACGCTCACGGGTCTGCCAAGAGCCACTTCCATCCGAAGGCGGTAACTCTCCGGTGATTGGGTGGTGGTATGAGAAGTAACCCAAAGGCCTGTTCAGAAAATGAGATCAAAGTTGGCAGCCTCCAAAAAAGAAAAAAGAAAGAAAGAAAAGTTGGCAGCCTCCTGGGCCCTCCCCAGACAGATCATTTAGTTCAGGCCAGGCTGCAGCGGTGCCCCTGCTTCTTTTCTTTCTCTGCTGTCTTTCTCATCTGCCTGGTGCCCCATCCAGGTCTTCTCTTTCGGAAGCTTCCTGTGCCAGGGGCCTGCCCACCCCTGCGCCCACCCTGATGAACCCAGGTGCCACCTTCCTAAGGCAGTTCACCCACGTCCTCAGGGGCCTGGAACCCCTCAGCCCAGCACAGAGCCCTCTGCAAGGTCTCTTCTGTGGCTGTGAGGCTCCGTGTGGAGGGTGCTCAGATGTGCCCCCTTAACCGCAGTCCTCCACACTCCCTCCTCCTGGACCACACCAGACTCCTTTCCTGGGTTCTGCTGCTGACTGCCCGTGGCCGTTCACAAGCCCAGCCTGATAACGTGCAGGGTGAATGAACATGCCGTGGTGAATGAACATTTTAAAGGCACAAACAGAAGTGATGGCTCCAAGCTGAAAATACCCTCGAAGCCACAAACTCTGTTACCTTCAAAGAAGCCAGAGTCAGACCTCTGAGGTTTGTTGTTTTTCTTTTGTTTTTTAATGCACCAACGAGTTCAATGAGTGAATGAATGAAATCAGCTCCTCTTTTTTTTTGAAACTTTTTTTTAATGGATTTCAGAGAGGAAGGGAGATAGAAACATCAGTGATGAGAATCATTGATTAGCTGCCTCCTGCACGCCCCCTACTGGCGGGGGGGGGGGATCGAGCCCGCAACACGGACATGTGCCCTGTGCTGGAATTGTGGAATTATATCTGGGACGCTTTAGTCCGCAGGCCGATGCTCTATCCGCTGAGCCAAACCAGCCTGGGCAGAAATCGGCTCCTCTTAGATAATGTCTCCCTCAGGAAATGGGGCCTCAAGACAAAGGCATCCCAACCACTACCAAATTCCACTGTTTCAAATCAGCCTTACAGATGAGCTAGGACTGTAAGATCCCCCTAGCACCAAAGCTCTGAGCTCGACCGTTCCCCTAAATAGCCTTTTAGAGCGCCCCACATCTGAGTAGAAAATGCCGGCTTCACCGCTGTGCTGTCAGGCCTGGCTCCCTCTTTCTCCTTCCCCTGAAAGGGCCTCTGGTCTTTCCCAGCTGCGGAGTAGCAGGGAACACACAGCTCCCCCAGAGCTGAGGGGCCGCCAGAGGGAAGGCTGGCCCTGCCCCAGTCGGCTGGCCTCCCGTTCTGCAGGGACACTCCTCTCTCCCAACAGGCAGGGAACTTCTGGAACTTCTAAACAGCACATCCTCGGCCCGCCCAGGCCCCACAACATCCTGTGCCCCAGTTTACAAGCTTTTAGTGGCAACTAGCACATTTGGCAAACCTTCCCGCGTGCGAGCCAAGCCAGGCCCTTTTCCCCAGGACCCAACTGACAAAGGGACACTAGGTTGGGACAAAAATGGGGTCCAGCCAGACAAGCCCCAAGCCTTGGTCCTCTGGGCCAAGTCTGGAGAGGTCCGGAGGGACATGTCCTCGGCTGGCCTCCACCACAGGCAGGCTGGTCCCAGGTCTCAGGATGCATCAGTGATTCCAGGCAGGGCTCCATCCCCAGCCCACACTCAGCCAGGACCTGCTCAGGGACTCTCCAAGTGTCCCAGAAACCCGATGCTCTTTTCAGTGCAGGCTCCGCTAGGGTCTGGCGGGGGGGGGGACGGACGGACAGCAAGACCCTCTCTGTGGGCCCCTACTGTGTCTGGAAGGTCCAAAAAGCATCTCTCTCCATCAGAGACAGCACCAGATCTCTGCTTTGAGACAACTTTAAAGAGAACGGTGTTTTGAAAGCTCAAGGCATGTTCTGGGCTTGGCTTTGGTTCTAGAACCAAAACACAGTACTCTCCCATGACTATGGAAATCCTGGAGGCAGCGAGCCCAGCCGAGGGAACCGCAGCTTCCTCAGTTACCCAGGCTGTGCCCTGTCTAGATTTTGCTGGAAGGCCTCCATGAAAAGGCCTTCAGGCTGGTCCTCCCTTCAGGCTGTCTAACTGGAATGCCTGCCACCTACTATTGAAGACAATGACTTGAGCCCCAGCCCACCAGGTGTGGGCACCTCATCATTGTGTCCCCCTAACCTCACAGTCCCTCTTCCCTCCTGCCCCTACTACCAGCTGTGCCCAGGATTCTCAGAGGGTTCGTGCTTCCTCTGTGACCTGTAGCTCTGACTTCCTGTCTTCCCCTCTCCCCTCCATCTGCATCCCGCCTCCCATAGCTGATGTCCTCTCCATTCCTGCATCCCCCTCCAACTCATACAAGGCCAACAGGCAGAGCAGCAGATTTTACTCACAGTTTGGGATCATGGAAGGGAATCACGGTAATTGCATTAGAATCTACTCATAGCCCTAGCTGGTTTGGCTCAGTGGATAGAGCGTCGGCCTGCGGACTAAAGGGTCCCAGGTTTGATTCCGGTCAAGGGCACAGGCCTGGGTTGCGGGCTTGATCCCCAGTAGGGGATGTGCAGGAGGCAGCCAATCAATGATTTTCATCATTGATGTTTCTGTCTCTCTCTCTCCCTCTCTCTTCTTAAAATCAATAAAAAGATTTTTTTTAAAAAAGAAGAGTCTACTCATAGACATAACTCTCCAAAAACTCAATCAACCACTCCCCGCCTCAGAAAATTTCTCACTCTTCCCTAAGTCACAACTTCTGCTACCCACTCCAGCCTCTCTCCTCTCTAGATCCCTCTATGCAGACCCCAAGTTCCCATGGATTTCTCCTGCAGAGTCATTTGTCTTGCCCTCAGCAAGCCCAGAGGATCTCACGGTTCTCACCAGAGTGGCTTCCCCATCGGGGTTCATCTCAGCCTCATCCTTCTGACAGACATTCACCTCCAGGGAGATGCACCTGGCCCCCAGAATGAACAGCTCAGTGTTTTGTTTTCAAGGTAACATTTTCTCCCTGGCCACCAACACCCACCCCCGCATCCCCTCACATCTGGTATCCCTGACAGTCAAGAAATCCACCCCAAATCATTCCTGTTCTCATGTGGCTTGTTTTTGTTTTGTTTTGTTTTGTTTTTAGTCCTCTATGGTCATGGGGCACCCCTAACCCATATCCTTGTTGTAGAAAATGATCCAGTTAGGCCTTGGCCAGGTGGCTCAGTTGGTTATAGCATCGTCCCAATACGCCAAGGTTGTGGGTTTGATCCCTGGTCAGGGCACATTCAAGAATCAACCAATGAGTGCATAAATAAGTGGAACAACAAATCAATATTTCTCTTTCTCTCCCTTCCTCTCTCTCTAAAATCAATCAGTAAAATTTTTTAAAGAAAATAATCCAATTAAAAATAAGTCAGCATAAGACCAACACCAGCCCTAGCCGGTTTGGTTCAGTGGATGGAGCGTTGACCCCCCGCCCCAGGTTCAATTCCGGCCAAGGGCACATGCCTGGGTTGCAGGCTCGATCCCCCCCCCATGTGGGGTGTGCAGGAGGCAACCGATCAATGATTCTCATCGATGTTTCTATTCCTCCCTCTTCCTTCCTCTCTGAAATCAATAAAAATATATTAAAAAAAAAAGACCAACACCAAAGGACAAATGCTGGATGATTCCACTTGCATGTGAACATACTCTGAGGTACCTAGTAGTCAAATTCCTAAAGACAGAAAGCAGAATGGTGGTTGCCAGGGGCTGGGGAGAGGAGAGAATGGGAGTTAGTGTTCAGTGGGTATGGAGTTTCCGTTTAAGAAGATGAAAACATTTTTATTTCATTTTTTAAATGTTTTTATTTATTTCAGAGAGAGGAAGGGAGAGAGAGAGAGAAACATCAATGGTGAGAGAATCATTGATCAGCTGCCTCTTGTACTCCCCCTACTGGGTATCGAGCCCACAACCCAGGCATGTGGCCTGACTAGGAATCGAACTGTGACCTCCTGGTTCATAGGTCAATGCTCAACCACTGAGCCGCCCTGGCTGGGTGAAAACGTTTTTAAAGATGGATGGTGGTGATGGTTGCACAACAATGGGACTATACTTAATGCCACTGAACTATACACTTAAAAGTGGTTAAAACTGTCAATTTTATGTTACATATATTTTACCACAATAAAGAAGTAATGTCAGCAGCATTCACTCTGACCACCCAGAGACACTTGCAGTTAACTCAGCAAAGGGGGGTTTTCCCTCTGCCACCTTGGGTCACAGCAGCTCTGTGAGCCCCGTCCCAGGGTTCCCTGCTCCCAGACTCACCATCAGACCTCACCCAGAGTAAAACAGAACCACAGAGGCGTGGCAACCAGAGCAGGAGCCTTCAGACTAACCCTAGCTCAGTTGCTAACTGCACTCTCAGGCGAGTTACTGAATCAATCGCAACGCCCTTAGCCCTTATAAAGAAATCGGAGGCGACAATAGCAGCCCTGAGGGAGATGACGGATGTGAACACTGAGAGTGTGTGCAAGCTGACTTCACCATCTCCTACTGCACTTGGTCAAATAAAAACATCTGGAACATAAGACGGAAGTTGCTTCCTGAAAATAAGCAGGTAGACAGCCAATAACTCAGTAAATACACCAAAAACTAATGCTTTGGTTTTCAGTCACCATCCCTATCCAAGGTGGGATGAAGCGGTTCTGCACAGTCTGTCCCCACCCCGAGACCCCATTTTGTGGAGATACTGATTTTCTCCACGATGAGCTTTGATTCAGAGCCAGGTTCCAGCTTTGCCCACAGGCGGCCACGGCGTTGCCTCAATGAGGCGTGGAGTGGGGTTCTGAGCAGGAGCTAACTGGAGAGGGAGTATGAGAGAAGCGTACATACGAGTTGTATCCCATGAGTACATATTCAAAACCGCTCCTTCCAGCCCAGCCCGTGTGACTCAGGGGTTGAGCGTCGACCCAGGAACCAAGAGGTCGCTGGTTCGATTCCCAGTCAGGGCACATGCCTGGGTTTCCGGCTCATCCCCAGTAGGGAGCGTGTAGGAGGCAGCTGATTGATGATGTTCCTCTCATTGATGTTTCTATCTCTCTGTCCCTCTCCCTTCCTCTCTCTCTAAAAATCAATAAAAACATATTAAAAATCAAAGATGGCTCCTTCTAATAATGTTCAAAGTGCTCTAATACGTTGACATGACTGTCAAAAGACTGGTGGAATGGTGCCGGTGCCAGAAGGGTGGCCACCAGACAGACCACAAACCCCATGAAGAAGGTGGTCAAAGGTGGCTGCAGTTGGCTGAGTTGGCTGCCCCTCGGTCTGACCACGCTGGTCTCACTGCTGTTAGAACCACCAGCCCTGGCTCTGCTTCCACAGGACCTAGGTCATAGCCCTTCTCTACAAGAAGGGCCTCTCTTTCCCTCAGGCCTAAGAAGGAAGTTCAGGTCACCATGGCCTGATAAATCCACACCTGGCCCTTCTCCTTCCTCCCTCTTGCCACCCCTCCTCACCAGGACCCTGTCTGGTGCTTCTCTCAGCCTCCCCTCCCCTCCCCTTCGAGAAGTGACTTGTCAATGGGGAGCAGAGAGAGAGACGTCCCAGGACTCCAAGTCTCCAGCCTCTGCCACAACTCCAGACTGCCTCACAGGGACCAGCTCGGCCCAGATGGAAATCATCTGGTGAAGGCTGCACGCTGATTTCACCCATAATTACGTTATGCTCACCCACACCCATTCCCACATCGCCTCCTCCCACGCCCCCTTCCCACTCACGCAGGGCGGTGCCAAGAAGTGAAAATGGAGGCAGCCCTGAAGGCACCCTGACAGGCGATCTGGGGACACAACCGGAGCCCAAGGCTTGGCCTGCGAACAACTTCAGGCCCATGACCCGGTCCGGCCCAGCCTCCCGCGCAGCCACTGCGCCTCAGCTGCAGAATCTGGAACATCAAAGGCCGAATCTCTCCTCAAAGCACAGGAAGGGGTAGCCGAGATTCCCGAGAAGCCAGCTCCCTCGGAGTGGCCTGTCCCCTCCCCTCCCCTGGGCCTCCCGGTGGCTGGTGGCCTTCACCAGATGATTTCCTTGCTGTGGGCCCCACAGCCTCGCCCACACCAGCCAGAGGGGTCTGCGAGTCATCACACCCAAGGTCCAAAGACCCAGAGTTGTGAGGCTTTGAGAATGTCACTGTGAGTTCCAAAGTCCTTCTCTTCCATTTTGTGGGCTTTTAACTTTTCTGAATTCTCCAGGCAGGGCAGACCAAGGGGACTTTGATCCCAGGGGCACGGGGTGGAATAAACTGTTAACTGCAAATGGGGCCTCATCCGGCCTGCTCTCCACCCTTCCTCTCTAGGCGGCCTGCGTAAGAGCGGGCCTGCTGGGCTCACCTGACCACACCTTCCCGGGAGGGAGCCGGTGGCGGCGGGTAGGGCTTGGGGAGCAGAGCAGTCACTTGGACTGGGAGGGGGAGGGAACTGTAGACACAACCCCCATTCCTGAAAGCCAGAGCGGTTCCTCACAAGAAACCATGAAGCACAAACAGCCCGACACTAGCGCAGCCTGGAACGTCTGAGCCACCACCTCCTCCCCCAGCTACCCTCTCCACGGCTCCACCGGGCAGGGTGGGGGTGGGGGAGAGCACTGCCCCCCC